GAAAAATGTGCGAACATAAAAGTCAAGTACGGCTTTGTCTCAGTTGATTAAGGAGCGCTAACTCTGAGCTTCAAATTTGGCAGGACACGAGTTCGATTCCTGGTACTTGCAGTCTCAAAAAATTATTTACAAACAATTAAATACAAGAATTATTTCCAAGTTATATGGTCAACCATAAATTCAATTAATTAAAATAATATAAAATGAATTTTGTTGTTGTAGCTCACTATTGTTCAAAGACTGTAAAGGTTAGCTATGTCAGGCTGGTTCTAAACCACGCCTAGACCTATTGGTTTCTTACTATCATTTAAAAAATTAAAATATATTATTAATGTGACTGATTCTAAAGTTAAACTTCGTGTAGATATTGTTATAGATATTTTTGGAAATTTAAGAAGTGCTTAGGGCTCTATTTCTAATATAGAGTTACCAAGCATTTTTTATAGATTTCAAAGGCGCTTTTTTTAAATAAGACGATATTTATGAAACTAATACGTACGCATCGTAACAATAGTATAGTACATTACGATCATACTATAATATACGAACGTTATGTTATAATTTCAAAAATATAGATCACTACTTTATAGCAACTAATCTTAAATTTAATAACTGGAAATAACTAAATAAGAATGTAATAGCTGAAATAAAAAAAATTCTCATTGTAACTTATTGAAGTAATAAAAATTTTCTCATTACCAAGTACACTTTCTTTTTTTGTTGATACAATACATCTTTTCTACAAATAGTAGCAATGCAAATCAATAATTAACTTCAAATAGATCAATTTTTAATAATTCTATTGTAACGTATAGTAGGAAGGTTAAGTGGATACCAACCGATAGAAATACACTTACTCTTTTAATTAGCTCAGTCGATATCGTTAAAAAATATATATTTTTAATCGTTAACAAATTTTCTGACCTATTTTTTAAATTTAATTATAATGAAAATATAGTCTATGTATAGAAAATAATTATTCCTTTATTTACTTTTTATGGGACTTCAATATGACTGGTGTGAATCTATAATTTACAACTAATATTGCCTCCACTTCTAAGGAACAAACGAAATTCTTTATTGCCCATATTGTAGGAGCATACATATTTTAAAATCTTCCTACAAATTGAATAATTGTTTGTCCCCAATCTTTATTTACATTTTTAGATGTTTTATTATACCAGACTTTATTAAACAAACTAAACAAAATTTATATATTAATTTATCACTTTAAAGTGAAAAGAAACCTTTTTTATTATTTATTTTCTTTTTACTTTCTTGTTACATTTTTTATTACAGTAAAATAAATTTATATATAAATTTAAAGCTATAAATTTGAGCTAAGTTTGCCAACGACTGCATGCATAACTGGAGTGAAGGAACTTAGTTTGTCATTAAATAATTTTTGCATTGCTTATTCTTGGGACATACAATTAAGTTATTTAAAGCAAAACATTGTTAATTTTATAATATAATGTTAATAATTTTTATTAGCAAATATATTAAGTAGATCCGAATTATAAAAACATAAGTTTAGTATTTGAAAGAATATATTTAGACATTTCAAGAGCAATACATCTTTCATCCATCCGCCTTTGGAGATATCGAATTAATTTTGAACTTTTTCATTAACGATGTAAGCAAATTAATTAAATTAACATGCGAATAATATGCCCAGAGTATTTAAACCTCTATCACACATATTTTATTTCTATAACACCATTCCTAACTTATTTTATACTCGTATGGACTAAAATGTTTTTTAAGGACTACCATAAATAGAATTGTCTTAAAATGATGAACAAAAGCAAAAATAAAATATACAATAATTATTAAAATTTATTTTAAAAATTTGATAAAAATATGATCAGATTTTTAACACAGACCAAATATTAAGTTACTTTTATTATTTTATTATAGAAAATGATGTTGAAGTTAAAAAAAGACAATTATAAGTAAATACAATGGTAAACTGAATATAAATGTTAAGAATACTAACAAAAAACAACCGCTATTTTCCTTATATAGTATATTGTCAATATTAAGATTCAAATACTCTTGATTGAATAACAGATTTTTAAATGAAATTTTCTTAATGTCTCGATTAAAAATTAAAATCAAAAGTTATACATTCAACTCACCTTTGCTATCATTTGTAATATTGTATTCAAGCCCTAGGCTTAACTTGCTGCCATTTTTAAGTTTCAACGTCAACAATCTTTCTAAATACATTTTGGATCGTGTAAAAGACTTCATGGCATACTTCACTTATCATTCACTTATTTAATAACAAAAAATTGAAAATCAAATAATAAAAAATGTTCATATATATAAGTAATACTACATATCTGAAGCCCAATCGTAATGATTCTGAGCTGTACTCACATTTATGATTATTATTAGAGGTCAGAATTCACCGTGATAAGAATAGATTGGTTATGTGTATATAATATTTTTACTAGAATCTATGTTTTTCCAAACAAAAATCAAAAACCTACGAAGATGTTTTTATTGTAATATGAAGTAATAAATGTTTCTACCTAAATATTGTGAATATTTTAAACCAAATGTCAGTGACAAATAATCGTAATGTAATTCAGATTAAAATATACTTCATCTACCTACAGTACTCTTTTCATAGCAAAAATTGGTAAGAAAATCCTAATTCTAATGTTCTAATCCTAACTAGTTACTTTTCAGTACACATACCCGTGCAAAAACACACGTTGTACATGGAAAACACCTGCAGTTCAAAAGATTACTAACAATTTTCTTTGTTCTTAACGTACTTTATGTTAATGAAGTTTCTATGGAAAACCGACAAAAACAGATTATATATAGATACATATGTATTTATATAATACATATATATACATATAGAAATTTATACATATATATAAATATGAATATGTGTATTAAAAAAATTAAAACAAATTAATCTTTTGTTATAAATATTTTCATTGTGTGGAATGGAAGTAGTGTCCAACTGTCGACCGCAAATTTTGTATCTATTTTTTTTTATAACTTCTCTTATTGACTAAACAATTGTCGGCTGAAAATCATTTTATTTTTTTTTTCATTATTGTATACCAGTTTGAAGATTTACGAATATTTTAAAAATAAACGCATTGCTAACGATTGCGAAGCATTGTATATTCCTCAAAAATAGTAATTAAGCCGCACATAGGCTTTTATAAGTCATGAGGAAGTAATTTGGAGAGAGAGACTTCTTCTATGATTTAATTTGGAACAAATTTGCTCCAAATCTTTTTAACAATTCTGAAAACTATAACATTTAAAAATGAGTTTTTTTGTTAATAATATATACTATGTGATAAGAGTATATTTAAAGTGCGTCCGAATGAAAGAGGAATATAGTTTCTTGCTTAAAGGCCATAACTTAACCAATATAAAATATTGCATATAAAAATATATATAAAATGCATCGAAACAATTTAATTGTAATGTTGTAATAAAGATTTAAGAGAATTCTTATTATATTAAATATAATGTTTTATGTGCTCTGCAATCGGGTGACTTAAGTGATGATTTGTCCTAAGTGCTGCTCACTAATTCTCTTATAGTTGTCGCTAAACTTGGTCAGTTCTGCTGTGTCCATTAACCTATTTCTTACCAGCATTGCTGTGAACATTAATTTTAAAGTATTCCTCAGTCGGGAGTGTATTTCCCTTTCCTCGTGCTTCGTTCAGGTTTAATGTCAATTGCTATTAAATTCTACTGAGAATATATGTGTTATATACACTTAGAATGTTTCTCCTTGTATTTGGGAGAAATCGAAATATGAAATATGACATCACTTTAGAACTTGATAACTTAATATAGACTTATATATTTCAGTATGAGTCCATTACTAAGCTAAGAATCAGTATTACATGAAGTAAATATAAACTCAGGTTCAAGCCCAAAAACTTTCTAATATTTCTATGATTCAGCCAAAAATCAATGGTTCTGTAACTTATTAACTGTCTATTAGAGCAGTTGAAAGACATTTTAAGTTAAAGTGTAGTTTAAAAAAATGTTAGGAACTATAAATTTGTCACAGTTAATTAGCACTTCCGTCACTTTCATATCCTTATATTCTAAAATAAAAATATTGTTAACTCTTAAATGTACATATATAGTTTGAAGCTTATGTACAGAAAATATTTTTATTATGATACCATGCAAATCGCATGATTGTTAAGAGGAAATATTTGCATGTAATACGAAAGGAATTTTTCAATAATCCTAGGTTATGATTAACACATAGGCGCCAGAATAATTTACCTCCATTGCGCATGAGCATTAACTTATCTAAGTAAGTCATCATATGTAGGACTAAAATTATAAAAACCATGCAAACCATACAATTCCTATAATTTTAAACAAGTTGAACAAATAACAGGCTTTTATTTCATACAGTACTTCTTAACCTCAAATATATATGGAATAGACTCATATTTTCTGAATGTCACAATGTCACTATTTCGAGTGACATAATTCAATTAAATAATTTGAAAGGAAGCCGCAACACAAACCATTTTAGCTTTTCTTCAAATAATTGATTAATTGTTAATTTATCCAACTTACTCTTTTAATTCATGTGAATGAAATTTACACACACTATTTACTAGTGAATTAAGATTAATTAAAATAATGTTTTTCTCACCCACAGCTATTTTTATCAGCGTTAGTGGCTTCGCTGAAGTGCGCTGGAGTGAAAATGTTGAAAAACAGAATTCGGAAGGTAAGCCAGAAACTGTACCAGAGACCTTCTCCAGTCATGAAATGTACTATAGTTCGGAAAATAGCGTTTACGGGCAAAGCGGTGGGGCACAACTTGAACTACCGGCCGGAAAGTATATATTCCCTTTTCAGGCTACCATACCACCGAATGCAC